GATAGAAATGAAGGACAGCAAGTCAAAGTAAAAATGTCCTAAAAATAAAAAATAAATAATGTAGAATAAAATTTTTAAATTTTTTCCTTCATATTAATTCACAAATTTTTGGTAGTTATTTATTAGAGCAATCTATTTTATTTCAAAACTTCATTTAACTACTACGTTAATCTCAGATAAAATTTAAACTCAAAAATTAGATATGACTGTCTTTATGATATAGATAGATTTAAGGTGAGAATTTCTAAACTCTTTCCATATTCACTTTTTCATAAAATCAAATAAAAATATATAAATAATCTTATATAGTCTATAAGAATTCAGTAAAGCTTTGCGTCTTCATGTAAATTTTAAAAGAAAATATCTAATTCTTAGATGACTAAACAACAAATTTATACCTGGAAAACTTCCTTTATCAATAGATATAAGTTTGCTCGCATTTTTTCTCACTTTGATCACAGTTCTAACAGTTTCATCGACAGGTGAATGAGTGCTGAACAATTGAAACTATCAAAATTTATTGTGTTACTTAATGGACAAATCGAAAACGCAGAAGTATTCTTTGTTCATTATTACTACAATTCAAAATTTTGCCTAAATTCATTTTCATATTTATTTTGCAAAGAAACTCGACACTTTATGCTGAAAACTAATTAATTAAGAACTAAGAAATTAAGAAAACTTTTGAGTTTGAAATTCTGCAGCATCAGTACAAGCTATTGCCGAAAAATAAAAAATAGTTCAACAAATTTTTAGAAAAAAGAATCAATCTTTTGCCATATATACTGAAAAAGCATAATCATAACTCCTTTACTTGTCAATGATATAAAATAAAGTAGTTCTAGAATCAATTTTCTCACTTATGTCTATTGTAGTTTCCGTTTTTTGACAACTTCTTCTGCAAGTATTCATACGTTTATGGTGTTGACTGGAAACAAGTTGGTGGGATTCACGAGGGATTAAGTCCGCATTGTGAGCGTAGACTTTACGGAAGTTCATGTACTACAATTGGTATGCCTATTGAAGCCACCTTCACTTCAACTAATCCATCTGGTTGTAAGTTTTTTTTAATCTGTGCATTAAGCTGAAAATTTCGCAAACCACTAAATTACTAAGGATTTTAAAGCTGTACGTTCATAAACTGTCATTTTTTTTACCAAAGAAATCGCTACGTAAGTAATGAGTATTTATAAGTTATAGTCAACTTTTTTCAAACCATTATGAATAAGTCATTTTTTTTCTAAGTATATTATTCGATAGAGAGCATATTTTAAAACAAAATTGTAAAATTATAACTGTGTTCTTAAGGGCCACAAATCGTACTTACTTGTTACGGATTCGATTTCTTTGGCAACAACGTCATCCGTGGTTATGGAGCTGTGCACATTCCAACTATTCCAGGAAGGTAAGGCTAGACATTAACAGTTGATAAAATTTCGATCTTTGTGTTTTATATCATAAAGGATTTTCCGAAAACTAAATCTGCATTAGTTGGTAACTAATAAAAAGTAAAATTCAAAAAATAAGAATAAAAAATTCAGGACAGTGCGAAGGGTACGAATGTTTCAGGACAGTACGAAGGGTACCAATGTTTGTGCCAGAAGCATCTACATTACTACAACGCTTCATGGGATGGTTAACTGGTAAACGAGCAGAATTTGTTGATCCAAAATTTGTTGCCACTGCTGATGGTCGACACGGTAAGCATTCTGTCAGCAATACTTTACAAGTGTATTCGAAAAGAACTCTGCAATTACTTTAAATAACTAAGCCAAATTAACAGTGACAAAAGTAAGAACTCAAGGAATCATTACAATAACCATGGATATTATGCTCAAAGACATGAAAAAATATGGGTATGATGTTGTTTCAACGTCATTGCAACGTATCTCAGAATGTGCTTTGCCTGACTTTACGGAATCAGATGTACAGGTAGGAGGGAAACAGAACTTATAACAAAATGTTCCACCATTGACTACTCTAAATGTAATTATATATTTTGTGATGTCTCGTTCCAGACTCAAGTTCAACGAAAAGATCCATCTCCAAAGCACTCTACGCCAACTCCAAACACAGTATCGGAAACGCAGCCCGGAACACCAGACACAACCCAGGGACCAACGTATAACGATACTTCACTAACTCGACCACTACCCATGCCTAGACTGATGACCCAAACTGAGTCTGTCGGAGAAATCAAAGAGGAAACCTCCCACTCATCTTCAAATTGAATAAACATTGCTAAGAAAATGCGAAAGTTCAAATAAAAAAAGGCACACTCTAAGAAGTCTGCAGTGAATCAATCACTAGCAAAACTAGTTTCAACAGATATATCACCGAAACTCTTTTATTTGATAGTAAGCACTATTGTTATTTTTGTCAACAATTTACAATAACAAGCATTTCTTGCACAGAACACAAGTAAGAAGTTTTATCTTACGAAACGACAAGAAATTAAATATATATTCAGTGAAACAGATGTGTCGTCAGTTGTCTCACTTCTCCGATACTTTCGAATCCTTTGTCGTTTTCGCTTCTTTGCTCACTGCACTCTCTTTTTCATTTTCAGAAATCTTGCGCATAGCTTCTGCTCTTTTTTGTGCTAGACGCTGTTCACGTCGTTTTCTAGATTCCTTGTTCTTAGCTCGACGCGCTTCTGCTTGTTCCCTGCAATCAAGATACCATGTAACAGAATTCTCTCCAAATTAGTAGTCTCTGCTTTTCGCCATAAAATACAACCAAAGTAACCACAGATATGACTACACAATCAAAAATATATAACACTTACCAAAATTAAATTTATTATAAATAAGAAGGGCAATGAAAAACATACGCCAATTGTTTAGAACGAGTATTCTCACTCTTCTTCTTGAAAATATATTCCATTAAATTACGTTTATTCTTAAAAGCATTGCCCTTGGCACGAAGATAAAGATCGTGGTATCTGAATGATGAAAAACTGTGTTAGTAAGAAAGAAAATAATAGATCTATTTTAACCAGCGCGAAAAATGAAGTAAAACATTTACAGATGCTTGTCAATTTTTTTTGCTTCACGGTAACGCTTTAAAAGATGGCGCAGAACACGCATTCGACGAATCCATAAAATCTTTTCTGGCATTCGTGCATTCTGCGTACCACGTCTTTTACCATGACCCATATGACGACCCTGACATTCTTTTATGAGAAATACTGATAATTGTTTAGTAAATTATAGGGAAGTTCGTAATTCTCACATACTACATAAAAACAAGTCAGGTACTTGAACTAGATAAATAATATCAACATTTCCAGTTATAAATGCATAAAAAACTAAAAGTGGTTTCATATTTCGGACCTTTCTCCGAGCTTCCAAATTTTTACGTGCACGATACCGCGAATGAACTGCCACTGGCTTACGAATAATCAAACCGTCTTTGACAAGTCGTCTTATGTTTTGCCGAGAATTAGCACTTGAAATCTCATTTATTTCATTTGGATCCAACCAGACTTTCTTCTTGCCACATTTCAATATTTTAGAGGCCAATCTTTTTTGGAGTCGTAATCCACTGCAAAATAAAAAAAATATTTACTTATGAATCAGCAAAATGCGCACAAACTAATACAAATATTATCTTCATTGAATGTAAAATTCTCAGCACTTTTTAAAAGCATTTGCAGGACAAATTTAGCAGAAATTCGAGCTTTTTCTTTAACTTTAAACAAACCTCATAATGATGTCCTCCAAGTCATAAAACGAGAAGCCTCAGTGAAATCTAAAACATATTACATACATGTGAAATACGACTGCACAATTTTCAGGGGTCATTGCAAAATTTGCGTCTCATGAATTAACTGTGATAATTTTGTGGCATTGTGATAAAGTCTATAAGATTCAAAGAAAAGAAAAAAACGTAAAGGTGTCACCAAATTGATCTTGTAAAAAAATCTTTAATCTGAATCATTATTCTACAATGATCATGAAAAAACAGGAACAATAATAGAGCAAAGATTCAGTTCAAAGAGAGCAAAGAGTCAACAAACTAGAATAATCGGTCAAAAATACTTCTAAAACCAAGCATATAATTCTGGAATTTTCAAAAGAAAAAAACTTAACTATACAGTAACATGTCATAATCAATCCTAAAATAACTTATTTACCAACTAAGTAACGTTTTTTGACTCCACTATGCCACACAAATTACCCCACCAAATATTCGGATGCCTATGCGAAATAGGACCAATGCATTTTATTATAAGATTTTTGTTGCACATCGAGAGGCTCAAATTTAACACCCTGATCAAGCGCAAAATTAAAATTGGGAATTGAATTATCACACGTATGACGATGTGATCATTGTGAATTTTATTAAGAGTTGGTTTTTGTTTCTGCTTTGTTTCTTATTTTTAATTCTAAACGTTTTCTATAATTTTTTTCTATTTTTCTAAAAACTTTTCATACAAAAAGTATAAAATTGTACAAAATGACGTGATCTATTGTAAATGATCAAAGAATGCTTTAGTATGAACGAAGGAAGTGAGGTATACTGCTTGTTTTCGATATGTCTTGTCGATGGATGCTTCCTACTCTTGCATATTTTGCTAAGGGTTATACTACCATCTTCAATATATCATATCATTTGAATATTTTTATTTAAAAAAGGATAAAGAAAGTATTTTTGCAAATTGTTTGCATAATTAATTTATTCTTGCACACAGAGTTATCTTTAACTTAAATTGTGTTTATAATTAATTACGGTAATAGTATATGGAAACTGGCAAAGGTTGACTAACTAACTTACTTGACAAAGTAAAAGTTATTTACTTGTAGTAATTTAGATAAAAATTGAGCTGAATTGTTGTAAATCAGTTTGTGTAGTCGTAATTATCGAGTAATGATGTTAGCACATAAATCAATAAGTCATAAAGGTCGATAAGCTGAATATTTTTTAATTTCGCAAGATTATTTTGTCTTAAGTGCTATTCTCTATACAAAGTAAGCTATAATAATTGTACATTAACATAATAATTTAATTAATTTGTATGCTAGAAAGTATGCTTTGAGATATTTCAGTGTAGGTAAAATAAAATTGATAATTTTTGCATATCTTAATCTTTACTTAGATAATATACGAAGTAGAAAATGATGCAGTCGTGAAGTTTGCAAAAATTTTGATCAAAAACATGACTATTCTTTAACATTAATCGTTGACTAACCATCGATTAGTGTTATTTAAGATTGGTCATGTTGATGCCTTTTACAATTCCGGTTTATTTTCGTTGAAGAAAATACGCGTGCGTACTTCGCATCACTCGTCTTGGTTAATTTCAATAGAAAATATGCAAGGTAGTTCAAAGTATTCTTTTATTTTATACTTATTATCACTTAATCATTTTTATCAAAATCTAGAATAGTCTCACGCAAATTTACGACAGTTAGTCCAGTCCGGTAGTTAGCACTCATGTTCTGTATTTAACACTATTCATTCAACTCTGGAACTTTCATGTTAGAGAGTTAGCTTAAGTATCCTGATATTGTGATTTTTTCTTAACTTCTGTGTGCGCACCATCATGTATTATTTCTTTGCATCCTTACAGTTCACCGATGAGGAAAAAATGATAGTACTGTACATATGTGAATTATTCGGTGTATCTTCGTTACTTTTGTTTCACTGAATTTGGAAATTGATGTGGAAAAATTTAACTTTTCGTGTCCAGTACCGGTATTACTGTGTTCGCGTATCATTTTGTGTGTAAGAATACAGAGTTTATTGGAATAAATTTTTAGAGAATCACTTATGAATGACGAGGGAGTATACTAATGGAAGGGCAAGAAGTTTTGGCATCATTAGGTGCGAGTACAGTAATTACTGAAGAAGAAGAAGAAAAGCCAGAAACTGTTTCGCCCAAGTTCGAAGCATATGATGAAGAGGATTGTGGTTATATGGTTAGAATACTTGGTTTGTAATACTTGAAATACTATTTTTATTGTGTAAAATTTATGGTTACAAAAACCCAGCTTTTAGAAACAAAAATAAATTTAGTCTAGTTTTATATTTTGTTTGATTTTTTTATCGGAAATTTGTTAATAATTGATTTTAAGACTCGTTATCTCAGCATTCACTTCTAGACAGAACATATTTTTCTACCTATACTTTTGAAAATCGGAACATGATGAGAAGAAAATAATACTGTGAACAATAAAATCGATTATTGTTGCTGCTTTCTATTGAAATTTTAAAAGCTTAGCTAAGTAATAATAGTTATGTCGTAGATGCATTGGCTTTTAACGACTGCTTCCTGAATTGATTAGTGATTGATTGGTGAAGCTATTTGCAGAAAATGAAGCCTTTTCGATGGTTGTTTCCGCTTTTCGTGCACAAGGAATGCTGAGTGATTATAAAAAAATTTTGCTCGAACATTTGAAAGCAGCTTTATTGTACGTTTTAGTGCTGTTCTTGGCTTTAGTGTCAGCTTGTTTTGAGTAAATTTTGCTTGGTTGGGGTTTGTATTTACATAATGGTTTTTTATTCGTTTAGGTGATTGCATGGTAAGATGCAAGTTATCATCTATTTTTTATTGCATAGTGATTTTATATAATTATTTTAGTATATCTGACGAAAGATATCTGGCAGAAATTCGTCAAGCTGCCAATGATCAAACATTATCACATATCGCACAAACGTATGTTTTTAATTTTTCAAGAAAATAATGTTGTCATTTTAATTCTGACATTCCCAATCTTATTGTACTAATATCAGAAAAGTCATCTCGTTTTTTATTCTTATTTTTTACTTCAACTCAAATAGTTATTTAAAGTGTTATTGTAATGCATTAAAATAAATTTTTTTAAGGCTTAGTCCATCATACGACACATATGCACAATGGGGATTAGAAGGTTTAAGTGCAGTACCGTATGTGGAGGATGTAGGTTTAAGTTATGATAAAGTTTTCCTCAAAAATACTAGTATTTTTTTCTTCAAAATTAAAAAAAGTTATGCTTATTTATAAAAAAATTTTATTAATTTATAATCTCTCACTTGTCTAGTTGTTTCTGACATTATGAAGTAGTAAGAAGAATGTGAGCTATTCTTTGTTTGCTGCAAAAAATTGGCTATTTTAATTTCGCGTCTTTAGATTGCTCCCCAGGATGATAGTGAAGAAAGGGATAGGTTGATGGCTGCCAATGAATTATTACAGCTTGCACAAGCACACAATGCATCATTATCAAATGAGAATGCTGCATTACAAGAATTGATTGCACTGCCAAAAGCGCCATATGGTAAGGAGTTGATGGTTCGGTTAAAAGTAATTTATTCACTAACTCTACTTAGGTTTCATAGAATCTAAAGCAAACAGTTTTCCTCATGTTTGATGCAAACCCAAGTATAATTTTTAGATGCACTCTTCATATCTCACTTGTTTTTGTAGTGCCAGAGCGACTACGTTTATTGTTGCGTGAGACTGAAGACGATCATGAGAGTCGAATTGGTACGCTGCGTCCGAGTGAAGAAAGTAATGCGCGAGCTTCTCGTATGGCCTGCAGTTCTACTGAAACAAAAATCGTGGTAAATAAATTACTGATACTAGTTGATATGGCAATTTATTAGCGCTTAAAATTTGTGTTGAGAAATTTTTTAAATTACAAGATTGATATAACACATCACATGTACTATTCACACGTAGTAATGTTATATTTGATATATAATAACGATAAATCATTTTAAATCTAACCTTCAAAAAAAATGAGAAAAATTAGTAACAGTTTTAAGGTTTTTCAAAAGAGTCTTAGCCACTACTAAAATTGGTCACTAAGAAAGAGCTCATAAACTTTTATTTTTTCAGCAGCCCAGTGCTTCGGGACAGTCCATTTCTGTATCAAGGAATGCAGAGGAAGTATCTGAAGAAAGAAATCGAAATGCGCAACATCAGGCGATGGCATCAACTAGCACAAGTTCTTCAGGAGTGCCAAGTAGTCCATCTAAACCGGTCTTAGTTAATAAAGGTGCTGTTTTGCTGAAATCTACACGTCAATACTGTTTTTAAATTCTTAGGGTATATTTTGTATTGATTTGTATCTTTTTTTTAAAATATATTTCCACAAGTCCTTTTTTGAAAGGTAAGATTTGTTGTGATTCTTTATTCTCACCAAAATTTTCACCAAGTTTAATTTTTACAGTCAATATATATTTTTTGCAGATAATGAAGAATTAGACTCCAATCATTCCGGAGATCATATGCGACCTAAAAAGCGGCGTCTGCGACAGGTAACACATGTTTGTTCTTATGGTAATTATTTACACTGCTGGTTATTGGACGATAATTTTCAGCTGAATATTATTCAAGACTTTAGTCTATTTAAACAATGACTTCATCATGAATATGATTCATTAGTATATTTGAATCATTTTTAGCGTGATTTGTCTGCTTCATGTGCACGAGTATTGCCATTCAGATTCCAAGCACCAGCCCCAGGACAAAAAAATAAACCTATTCGAGGAAATCCTGATCGGTGTGTTTCATTTTTATCTTTTCAAGATTGCAGGTGAAAAAAAAAGTAGACTACAAGAAGTTTCTATTAGCCAAGTCCCTCTCCAAAAACAACTGACTGCGTCATTTTGTTTTTTTCTTTAAGCTGTAGTTTTTTTTTTATTCACGTGAATGAAGAGTACTAATTTTTTCTTTTCTTTTCTTTAAGTTTTCCTGATGAATGAAGAGTACTAATGTATTGGCAAACTTGGTTAAAAAATTTTTAATGGTTTTAAAATTCAAAGTTGGGGAGGTGATTCAAAGTTCAGAGTTAAAAGGTGTTAGAAATAGTAATTCAAAAACCTATTTCTAGTGAAATTTTCTGAAGTTTTACTGTAGGTCACCTGGACAAACCTCTCCACTGTGTATTTCAAATTTGGCTTCCACGTCATCATTGACAACCTCCTCGTCAGTTATCAGTTCACATCCTCAGCTGACCTCACCATCAGGAACTTTTCGTACTGTACTGACGAATCCAACTGCAGTAATCAATTCTGGTAGATTGCATCAAGTCTCGCATATGAATACCTCAGGTTCTCGCAGATTTCTAGTTTTCGATTGTTAATTCTAATAAATTTATAATAAATATCATTCATAACATTTGAAATAACTCGAATAATTAAACTTTGATATTTATGGGATAATCTTGTCAATGCGCAATCGGAAAACTGAAGTGTTGTGAAAATGCTCATCTATTAATTTTCTTCATTACTTAATTTTGACAGAATATCTGTAGCAAGCTTCGCATGTGATGAGTCAATATTGGGAAAGTGAAGGTCTAATTCAGGTATGGTTATAAAACGTGCACGTGCAGTATCATCTGGAGGAAATGAATCAGTTTTGGAAGGAACTTTATCTCGACAAGTATCAAATACACCAAGTGTATATCGGGTTCAGCAGCCAGTTCAGAGAGCATTTATAAGGTTTAGTGACTGATTTTATTTGTGGAGCGTATTGGGAAATATGCTTTCGTATGTCGAGCATTGTTTGACATATTGCTGAATTTCCAGCACAGTTTGTTTCAAAAACTTAAGAGAAAGGCTTACTGAGTAGTTACTGTGGTTCGTATAAATAATATTAAACTTATTGCTGATTTTTAACTCTCAATCAGCCTAAATTGACCGTCAGTTTCTGTATAAGTATTCGAGCATTGTTTGGTCAGTTTACTTAAGTTGAAGCTTGCTTATCTCTAGATCTTCTAGTGGACAGCGATTTTATGCAACACCAATAGCATCGGCCTATAGTAGTCCAACTCGACCATATTATGGTAATCCGAATGCGGTTGCTGGATTCATGCGTCCAGGATCAAGTTGTTCGCCTCGTTCCTCGTATACAATTTCATCTGCACCTAGCACATCATCTACATGTTATTCACAGCCGCAAACAATAACTTCTAGTGAGATTCAGCGTTTGGTTGCCCATGCTGCAGCATCTGGTCAACCTCATCAATATCGCACTTATAAAAAGTTAATTTTCATTTATTCGTGTCACTATCTTAAGAGTTTGGTGAAACTTAATTTTTGTTCATTTCAAAGAGAACTCAACGAAGTAATTACAGACCGCCACCAAGACCAGTTGTTGTAACTAGTTCAGCTCGCCTTTCGGTAACGAGCCAGCGTCAAGGAGCTTCGTCCTCTCTTATACCATCTATAAGTGTTGCTGAAATGACAGGTGCGAATTATAGCAGCCAGCAACAGCAGCAACTAGCCGTTCACCAACCATTGCGATTACCAAGTCGAACTTTACCATCAGTGGCAATAACATCAGCACAACGTCCATCTTCCATTCTCGCGTCGACAATGAAAGATAATACACCTGCCAAATCTGACACGCAGGTTCAGTCCACTGGTAGTAGTACTATTGAAATGGAACACTCTGATCCACACAGCCTCTCTACTGATAGCTCTGCAGCTCGAGGTTTATTTTTCGTTTAAGTTCCTTTACATATACCAACTGATGAATGTCTCGCATTCATGGATCTTGTTGGCAGAAGTTGTAGGAAATTGCTTGTTGCTTAACTATTATTTCATTAAATTTGGTATTTGATCGACCATTGGTATCTGTTTCTATTATATTTTGACGCATTTCTGGGAACAATCATTATAGAATTAATAATATATGTTTGTCATTTTGATATTTTACGAAGTTTGATATTTTAAATTTGTAGGAAATGAAAATATTTTTGTCTCCATGTTTACCAATATTGCATTTAATCCTTACTAAAATGCAATCTAGTTTTGTAGATAGCAGTGAAGTAGTAGAACAGGAGCGTGGCTCGGATATGGATAGATCATTGTTCGAACTAAGTTCTGCAGAATGTTCATCCCACGGTACGACTTAATTCCTTCTATTTGATCTTAATTATTTACAACATTAAAATATGGCTATTGTTTTGTAATTATTTTAATTTTTTATAATTACCGTGAATTCATTTGATGTATGTTCTGAGGCTATAGGAAATAATATTCATATTCAATTACAGCTATTATGGAAGATCAAAATTTCCTGTGAACTTTTATTTTGTTTGTTTCTAAATTCATTGCTACTAAAGTGTATTTCAGCTATACATTTGGACTGTGATGAATTGATTCCTAGGCCACACTGTTTGCATTCTAATTGTGGAAGTAAGTCATCCTGCTCGAGGATTCCTCACTTAAGACATAGTCAGTTTTTGTAAAAATTTTCACTAAATTATTGATTATTGCATGCATTGTAGTATAGGAGAATTATGTTTCAATTACAACAGTACTAGTGCCATTTTTGAATCATGCTGTGAACTAACTTGTATTCAATCTAACTTCAGTTGAACGAACTTTTTACAATCTAACTTCGGTATTAGCACTCTAAATAGACGAATTGTTTAGTTATGGGTGCTGATTTTCTTTTTCATTTCTTCATTTTTAGGCATTTCTAACGAAGGGATCCCTGTCCTAGTCAGTCATCATGAAGAAAATCGGATTATAAATAGGGACGCTCGTATTATATCTGGACAGTTTACGAATGGTCTAATTCGTCAGGAAAATCAGAATGTCATTAGCTATGTCAGTACACCGCAGTGTATCCAGTAAGTATCATACTTCCTATACCAGTTTACTAGAAGTAACTTCATCTCTTATGACAACAATTTTTAAAGTCCTGAATATATATATGAAATTATTTATTAGAGTTGCCTTTGTTTGGAGTTTGTTTGATTTCAAACTTGGATTTTGAAATTTTTTGTCATTATGTTCTCACAAACAATGAAGGAAGGTCTGAAGTTCTGAAACTAGTTTCAAACTGAAATGCTAAAGTGAATTATTAACAATAAATGCTTCATAGAGGAACTTAACACCTTATTAATTACTTGAAACTTTCACTCATATTTTTAGTAAATTTCAATCCCATATTTTCAGTCAGCTGTTTGATATTTTTTCACTATGCTTGTTATTCGCAGATATTTGTTTGGAATGTGTAAACTTATGTCTAACCGGTAAAAATGAGCTTTTATTATATACAAACATTGCATTTTATGTGTATATAAATATAAGCAAATGGTTTAATTTCCTCTGAATAAATCAGAAAGAGAAAAATATGTGATTCGAAATAGTAAATTCAGAGGTACTCAGTAAATTTTAACAAGCAAATTAAAATATATTCCATCCTCTGATTTTGATACTTTTTCAAGGTAAAGTGCCTGAATGCCTTTTTACTTGCGTGTTGATACAAAATGGGTCATAGGTGCTGATAATGTGGGTCATGTATACATCAGCGAGATGAATCGTTTTTGGAGTTGCAACAATATTCGCTTATAGTTCTAAACATGGTTGCTTCTTCTGATTTCTCATTTTTCTCTGGAATTGAAACTTCTTTATACATTTATAATTGCTGTATGATTTTTGACAAAATATACTTGATACTAGTTTTCAGTACAGAGTGTTATGTCTACTAATATTAGTGATATTTCCACTAATATTAGAACATATATATATGCGTATAACTTAGTATGTTAACATTATGTGAAATTGTGATCAAAATTACTTTGGTTCCATGCAAATATTTCATATGCATCGTGAGAATTCAAAGATTTATATGAACCATCAGTAGGAAGCTCAGCAGATTCAGAATCACTAAATTCTTGGTATCCTTGTTGTGTTTCGTTTATTCTGTTCAAGGAATAGATTCTGAATGTAAGTATCTTACAATAGATAATGCAGAAGTTAAAATTTTTTTCCTTTCACTTCCAATTTTATTTGAGCACAAGAACTTCATGATATTTTCAATTTATTATGAGGTATTGCTTACGAGTACAACCATTTACAGTTTAATAACTGTACGGAGAAGTACGAACAAACTTAGGTTCTGCTACCAATATGTAAATATGTAATTGTTATTTGTAAGTAGCAAAACTGGATACCCTAGTCGATAATTTAAGAATATCTTTAGTACTGTGAAATGAAACCTTTTGTATGGATTGCTTGTCACACTCGTTGAGTTGGTGCCATCAAAATTTGATGAGAGTTTTCTATAATGTCAGAATTTTTAAATAGTTTTTCAACGTTTACTTATTAGGTTTTTCTGAATATTATTATTCGGAATTACAATTTAAACCGTTCAGTTGTTGATTGAGATTCTAAAAGGTTGGATATTGGTCTGGAAAGTTACAAGTGTTTCATGATTGTAAACAAGTGATTACTTTTGTGTATTTGCTGCGAATGTAGGTGATATTAGTTTGTAATTGCTGATTTCGAGAGCTGTATGAGCTGATTTTGAATTTTGCAAAAGCTGTAAAAGATTCAATAATTTATTGTCTTTCAAGGTGCAAATAAAAATTATATTTTCTCTTCTTGAAACTTCAAATACACATTCAAGTATTCATGGACGCAAAATATTATAATCAGTTACTGAAAGTAACTAACTTCATTTTGTGGATTCAAGCTGTAGTAATAGCTTTTACATGCATGAGCATTTATAAGTGGCTCACGTCTTGATTCTTCTATACCTCTCTGTTTTTCCAGCAATTGTACTATCAAACTTTTCATTGGTGGCATCTAAGTGAGGATTCATCAAAGATAGAGAAGAAAACGCGAAAATTATTTGGGATGTATTTGGTCATACAAGTGATTTCAGAAAGCTGTTTTCTCACATAAATTATTGTGATTATAGAATTACTAAACGATGAAAATTGAACTCTAATCAGTTTAATCTAAGCCTATTTTTCAACAGTAAGATTGTTGTTATTTATATTTGCTTTTATGATAGCTAGATTTTTTTCAATTTTATGCATTTGTAATGATGATTTTGCATTTTTTCTGCAAAAATTTTTGGATAAGCAATTACAATTAAAGAAATTCAAAATTCCATCATCGAAATAATAAAGTATAATTTTAGATTACCTAATTTTATTGCTATTAGCAGTAGATTGGTGTAAGCTAAAAATGTTTCTTATTATGCTAATTACAGGCACTATATTTCCTTCATTTGTATTCATTCTTTTCTGTACCTCTCCTAAATTTTGTGCTTCTTAAAGAATTTTCTTTCACGTCCCATTTCACGTTACTCTTTGTTTTTATCTACTTATAGACTGAAAAATAATCTCTGTGATTTGTAACTTTTTAATCTTTGCATTATTTGCATGTTTTGATGAAGTTTTTTGTATGAAATATTAACTAACATGAACATATTTTTTACGCTTGGGCGTGATAATCTTCATATCATTGTCCTCTGATAGCATACTTCTACTAAATATTCGTAACTGTTAATGGCCAATAGTTCCTGACTTCAGAGAGTATATTTTCTAAATAGTTACTAAAACTAAATAAATATAAAAAAGTTATAAACTTTAATTTAATTTGTAATAACTACGAAAAACAACACTTAAATTATGTAAATTAAATCTAGCCACTTACGAGTATTTAATAATTTCAGGGTTCGTTTCTTAAATAAAATAACATCTAACAAGTGCGCACCTTTTTCTGCGTGATTTGAAAATAATTGGAAACCGCCCGCTAATATTGCTTTCCAGACAATGTTGGCCTAAAACATTTCTGAAGCTTTTATTTTGTGATTGTTATTCAGTTTTTTGATGAAAGCTTTGTATGTATTTCATACTTTTTTGCATTAATTTACGGTTTCAAATGCTACAGAATTACGCCTTTTGACGTGGCAATTTTTCTCGGTGTCCGTGTCATAATTAACTCATGTAATTGATACTAATAGTGGCCATCGATTCATTATTTGATTGAAAGTACGCATTCATAATTGCTATTTGAGTATTTGCATAAATTATAATGTTT